ATTTTTCCCAAATCGTGGCCTGACATGATCATTTTTTTAATACATCATCTGCGCGTAAACAACAACATAAGCTGTTTATCGACATAAAAAGCTGATCCTGAAGTTTAAATCGCGGCGCCGTTAGTACCCTGGCGTGTTCAACGTTTTCACTAAACGTGTTCACAAACTGAAACAATGCAAATATAATGCTAAATGACGAAAACTATACATCCTTTGCTGTCTCAGTACTCGTCCACAAAATGGGGGAAGGGGAGGGGGGCGCTTATTTTAAATTTTGGCCGATAGGAGGGGCGATTATTCGAAGGGGGCGCTTGTTCGAGGGGGGCGCTAATTCGAGGATTTACGGTAAATGATCGTATTGTATTGCAAGTAATATAATAAGTAGTCTGTGTAAGTCTTAGTACAGTGTTGCACATTGTAAGTTAAAATTAGCGGCAGAAGTAGTCATATTGAAAAAGAATAAAAATAATAATTAAGAAGTATTGTGAGTAGAGTACTTAAATGTAAATGATCCGTCTCGAAAATAGAGCTTTTCCCAAAAAACCCTTCAAACCGGAGGAATTTGAAAACGCTGGCCAAATGCTTTTTAGTGTGGACAGAGAACATTTTGAAAACAAAGCTTTTTGAAAACGATGACGTTACCACAATCATGATCTTTCTCTGACCCAGTTTACTCAAACACAAATCGAATATGACCGCTGATTGATGCGTTTTCAAATATCTCGGGCGCAGTGTGGACGGAAAACATTCGATCCGTTTTCAGAGTGAAACCTCCGTTTTCAAATTCCTCCGGCATGGTACGTACGGTGCCTTAGTAGAAAAAAGTAGCAATTACCAGTCGATGGCAAGTACTGTGCACCCTCGATCACAGCGATAGCACTATGTTGTCTTTTCTTTTTGTCGCCCCAGAACATGACAAAGTTGATAACTAGCTGAGTCTTAAGGAGAAGTGCAATATTCCAATATGCAAAGAGAGGCAAAAGTCGTCTCCACGATTTCAAAATGCATTTACCAAAATTTACTGAATTATGCAGTCATTGTAGTGTTAACAGCTTTTACTCTGGAGATTTAGTTTGGTGTAGTTTTAAGGTGGAAATTTACTCACTTGTTGCAACAATGGTGTGAGTGACCCCACATGCCACTTTAACAATGTCTTTTGAAATTAGTGCCTCTACTACTTTAGGGACACTCTCTTCACCATTTTCACCATGCCCGAGCATTCCAGTGGTACCATCTCCCCACGTGTATAAGTCACAAGCGTCTGAAATCAAATAAACAAAGCACTGATTCACTCAATTCTATCTACAATTGATGTGTTCTGCAAACTATTGACAACTACAGCAGGGATGGCGAGCAGAGACACTGCTAACAAAAATGTGGCCCGGGTTTGAATCTGGCCTGGTGCCATATGTGAGTTGAGTTTGTTGTTGGTTCCTGCCTTGATCTGGGAATTTTTCTCCAGTTTTCCTCCCTCCACAAAAACCAACATTTCCAAATTCCAATTCGACCAGGATGGAGGGCCCGCATGAAAACCAGCCAAGGCTGATGCAGCTTCCTCTCTAAATACTGCAATATATTTATTTTATTTGTTTATCATGCAGCTGTAAAGGGTCAAAGGCCTCAGAGACACACAACTTTTTTTTTTATAAAACAGAACTTTTTCGATTTTATCTTATTGAATCAACCCAAAGAGGTGACTCCTGGATTAATGAATCATTTTTGAACTTTGGCAAAGAAATTAAAAATCCTTTTTACGCATTTTAGAGATTTTGATTTCTAAAGGAAATGCACCTTAAGTTATTGATGGGAGCACCCATGACATCATAGTCAATTAAATTTAATGAGAGTTGTAATGATGGCCTGTACAGGCTCTATGTGTTAAAATCAGTAACATACTACGAGGTACCTTCACTGAGTGGTTTTCCATCAGGACCAAGCAGATGCAAAGGAACCTGTAGAATCAATCAATCAGAAACATATTAACTCTGGTCAACAATTCATTTCATAATATTTCAAGAGGAGACTCGTATATTAAAATGTCCGGGATGCTTGTTGTCTCACTAAGGGGTATAAATCAAAGATTCTTGTCTCACTTAGGGTGTTAATGGTAAAACACATTTTTTTAGCTGTCAAAGTATCAGTTCTTGTAGGTTGCAACCAAAAACGTATTTAATGAAAGAAACGCTCTTATTTCCTCTTTTAGGCTTGATTTCCACCAATCTCTCAGGTCCAGTCTACTAATGCAGGCTCCTTTCCTGAACAGTGGCTGACACAGTCTATTCGGTCTATTCCTTTTTAAGTGATATCTTTTAGGGGTGAAATAAAGCTTGAACCACACCCAGATTGGTCTCCATTAGGGTTTGATTGAAATTACCCAACAAGCGTTCCCAACATTTTCATATGGGAGTTCCTCAAGGAGACAAACCTCTCACCTGCTCTTCTGTAACCCACATTTATTTAAATCTACATGTAGTACTAGTGAAATTCAGCACCAGAATAAGCAGTGAATTGAAGCAATGAGTGGAATGCTCTGCTTATGAACTACACAAATTTAAACATCATTTGATTGTAGCTTCAATGAAGGAGACCCCACCCCCCTCAAAAAGAACCAATCTGTTGACTTGGAGAAGAGTGAGGAAGATGAAAAAATGCAAAATATGCCACCAAAACAAGGCCAAATAAATTCTGAGGAAAGTGGAAACTGACATTTTCCATTATCAGCGCACCCACAGGTACCAGGAGAAACAACAACGACACTGACGACCAGGATGATGAATTATATGACTGTGTAACATACTATGTTATCAATAACTGTTAATACACACCTCTTCTGGTCCTTGTGCAAGCTGGTTGTCTGTTTCATCTTGCTCATGCTTTCCACTTTCATATAACTCATCAACAGCCTTTCTGTCATTGAATCCACTCATCAGGGCCTTTACAAAAACAAAACACCTTAGTTTTGAAATTAGCAAAGTGAAGTCTGCACTCTAGCTTGGTGGCCCTTAAGGCTGGCAGTCACCTTGAATTTCTGTGGCATGATAGGATCCCCCTCCCCCAGTATTTAATTCACTGCTACCCACATGACTTATAGAAAGTGTCTTGCCTAAGAATTCAACTCAACGATGACCCTTAGTCAGGGCTCGAGTAGGGACCACTTGATCCAGAGTTCGGCAAATTAGTCACTGGCTAGGTGGCTAGCTCCTCTTCCCTGTCCAATACAATCGCACGGTCAAATACCTGTAAACCTGACGTCCATACTTCAAACTGTTTCTTGTCAAAACAGGCAATATCCAGTGTCTGTAAACTTCTGCCAATCTTGTAAACCACAGAGAAAGACATGGACTAAAACAAAAAGAATTTTTTTTGTTTCTGTTTAGTAATTATTAATCATAATTTTAATTATATTCTTTACATTTTATGTCTACATGACATGTATGTATATTCAATATTTACATGTAACAATTATGAATCCATGAATTCAAAGTCAATGAATATTTTGCATACCTCCCTCTGTGGTACAGGGTAATTCTGAAATACTTTTGTCGTCTGTCCTTTAATTATTTCAGTCATTTGGGCAATTAAAACTAGACCAGAAGGAACAAAAAGACAAGGTTGGCTCTATGAAACATTTTCTGGACTGCTCACAGTTCACCGGAAAATGCAATTCACCAAGAGCTACAAATTTCCAGAAAATGAAACTGCCCATTATGCTATAGTACAAATCTACATGGCCAGATTACTCATGATGCGATATCCTCTTGTTGGTGATTTAATCTTTATTCTCAATATACCAGTCTGCTTGCCAGTGTGTTTCATATGAAATTACAGAGAAATCAGATGTCGGTTGCTTTTGGAAATGAAACATTTCATTTAATAGCTATGAAATATTCAGCCTAGAATCGTATAGCTCAGAGAATTCTTGCACCCTGATTGGTTACCTAGGCAACGTATTCAGTGTGAAATTGCGACTCTTGAAAGCGAGGCACCTTAAATATTGCAACATTCACACAACCTGTGTAAATGAAACAGGGTTTTCTTTCGCCTAAAAAGAAGGCTATGTGATTCAAGGAAAACTCATAACCTGACTTGTTAATTCCACGGTAAATTTCACTTGAAAAACCGGTAACGTACTCATGGCTTCATGCGCTATCGTTTTTTTGCGAGAAAGTTAACAAGCAATTAACCAGTCAGGTAATGAATTTTCTTCCGTAAAAGGGCAACAAAAACAAGCAGGCCACAAATTCAAAGATGTAGTTGATTACCAGACTTCTCTCCTGCTTTCCTTGGAGATCCCCACTGTACATGAGAGAGATCTGCAACAAAAGATATCAGACTGTCACTTCATCAGGAAGGAATATCCCAAGTTAAATTATCTAGGAGAGATCCTGAAGATTAAAGCGATCATGTGGAAAAAAGACCCCTATAGAATCCTGATTCCTACAGGTTGCTATTTACGATCCTTGAATGATTGAACAGGCTCCAAGAAAATATTTTCACCAGGGTGAGTAGGTAATGCATGTATAGGTATCTGATTAAACTGGAAGCGAGAAAACATGCACATATCATCACATATATTTACTAGCTGCTTTTAATAAAAACAAAATCAGCAATCAGTTTCAAAGCATTCTTTAAATTCATCTTACCTCTAGATAATATAAATTTCTTGATTTGAGGAGTTCCCTGATGAAACAAGAAGAAAAAATAGTGATATATTTCATATCATTTGTACCACATCAGTGAAAGATTGCTAAAAAGATGGATGGAAGAAAGGTGAGGGGGGAGCCAAGAAGGGGACACTTAACCCCTGAATATCTCCCCTAGATTGGCCTCTACAGTAAAATAAGGTTAGTGTACACACTTGAACTGCGGTTATCACGGGAATAGATGAACTCAATTAATTGACCTCATTCCCAATGTGTGGTTTCACAGCTCAGTTGGTAGAGCATCGCATCGGTATCGCGGAGGTCACGGGTTCGAATCCTGTTGAAGCCCTGATTTTTTTCAGGCTTCTTCTTTCCAATTGCTTAAATTGGAAAATTTACTGCATGATCATTCCTCACTTTCATCTATAACCGCAGTTCAAATATGAATTATTTCATATATACTTCACATCAAGACATAAGCTTAATATATAAAAAGCAACATATTAATATAATCCAAACTAGGTGTATAAATATGTCTATATATACTTACATGCCGTTTTACTTTGAGCATAACACAACCCTTTGTCATTTTAAATACAGAGAAGATAGAGGATTCCGCAGGTGACATCGGAGGTCGAGTATTTGGCGAATCTGTAGCTTCAGGGTTCAAACTTGACATATTGAGAGTAAAGCTGAAACTGTCCCAGTTGCAATATTGAGCCGAACAATCCAGGAACCAAAGGAACTAAAGAAGATCTCAAATTCAAATATCAATCACATTCTGTTCCATACAGTTTAAAAATAAATTTTTATGCGAGTATGAAGGCACAGACGGCGAGTTTTTCCTGAGGGTCTTCCGCCATTTTGGAATTCCTCCAGACATGCAATGCAATCTGGGAAGAAAATAAACCTTTAGAGCCCAGTCTTTCACTGCCTCGCGCATCGCATGTGACTTACTCACGGTCTCGAACATGGCGGACTTTGAACAACTTTTGAGTTAGTTTTTTTTTTTTCAATGAAGCGATCATATGAAAAGAAATCGCAGTGATGAACTGATGTAATGGAGGCATTTATAATCGATCCAGCTAAACTGATAGGCGACATCGTCGGTGAGTGCTTATGAAAACTATAAGACAACTGTGCACAAATATGTTGCGTGATCTGAAACACCACTGGCAATGATTCAATGATAGGAATCACACATTATCGCACCTCAATGCACGCAAATGTGGCGAAAATTTAGCATTGGCAAGAAACCGCTGATTCAATTATTATGCTGATTGGTTCTTTTGTACTTTGAAATGCTCGTGGAATACATTATTGCGGGTGTTTTTTCGTAGATAAATTGTTGCATTTTCCACCAAATTCTGTAAGATCGCTGCCTGCATTATTTAAGACTTACGCCGCTGTTATTCATTTTATGGAGATTACAACATAGCATAAAATATTGCATATTATTTTATGAGGCTTACAGCGTAGCTCCAAACGTTTCATGTTATTTTATGGGACAACATCTTAACATAAAATACGTGTTCTTTCAATTTAACAGCCAACTGTCGACGCAGTTATTTTCCGTGAATTCGACCAGATTTATGGTTTTTAGTAAACCGAAGGTCGAGTCTTCAATTCTAAAGATCGTCATACTGTCGGATATCTAACGTTGTGTGTAATTTGCTGCCGTTTATTTTGTTTAAATTGATTTTGCATTTTTTTAATTATCACTTTTTCTTTGTTCTTGTTATTGCATCATTGAATTGAGACAAATTTAAAGAATAACCCGATTATTTAAAACTTAAATAAACTTACTACTTGAACAAACTGAAAACTGATAGATTTAACTATGATGATTGCAAAATTTGATGATATGTTTGGGTTGGGGGAGTTCCACCTTGTTCGAAATAAGTCACCGTAGAAAGAGATCAGTTATATACCATTCAGAATGCATGTGTATGTCATATGCAGTGGAGGAAAATTTCTTGGATTGCAAACTATGGAAAATAGCACCAACTTCTGCAAGTATCTATAACCTTATTGACTTGACATTGTAGAATGGTGGATGTGCTCTCAATCGCACATGTACTGTCTGGAAATATGGATTTAAATAGGGTTTTTAAATTTAATTTAATTTAATGTAATTTAATTTAATTTAATTTAATTTTATTAATTTTTTTATTTTATTTTATTTTATTGTATTNGGCCACCTTGTGATGTTTCTCATAAAAGCGTGGGGGCATCTCATTCGCGTTTAATCCTAGACGTGGTAACTGGCAAGTTAATATTGTGCTAAGTTAGAACAAGAGAAAGTGATGTAATTAAAGTACTGTAGAGCGATTTTCAACTGAGTATCGGAAGTATAATTCGCGTTTGCTCTGGTTTTGCGTATTACGCTAAGGCAAGTAGCGTGCCCGAGGGGTCAGCGCGTCGGACTCGCAATCCAGCAATTACTGACCGCTACCTGGATTTGTTTCACGGTAGCCCCGAGTTCAAATCCTGGGCCACGCTTGTAAATAGCCAACTGGTTCGCCTCCAGCCAGGTGGGAATGTTAACGATGTTATGTTCAATTTGATTGTTTGCTCGACCCCACTAGCCTTTGTGCTATAAACACTGTTAGCCAAGGGTAAGTAAAGGTTATTTATTTATTAGTGGATGGCCTGTGTCCATCGTGATTGGTGTGAGTTAACACTCTGGTTTTGGCTTAACTACGCTCAAGTGAAAACCGCTCTAATATTAATTATTATTTAAAAGCTCGATTTCTAGTGAATTTGATGATCATACTTTCCGTTGCGTTACAGACTGTTGTGCCGTTATCTCAGTACAGTTCTCAGCTGAAGTCGATCAAGGGTGAAATAAAAGACGTATCTCCCGGAATATATGTTCTTGTTTTCGATAACACATTCTCAAGGTAAGAGGTCTTACTAGAAACTCGAGTACTTGTACCGGCGAACTAAACAAATTTGGACGTGATATCAATGTAGATGTTTTTCTTATGATCACGGATCTCGCGTCAATTGCAAGATACGTTTCCTTACCACTTCTCGTGCAACAGATTGCATTAAAAGTTGGAAAGCTTTGTTCCACGTGTTACCTACCCATACAAGTTTGGGCGCAAACTGCACGAAGTCGAAGCAGTGTTTTCTTCGTGCAACATGTTGCCTTAACTTGTAACGCGGTTGATAATATGCGTAACGCTTTTCAGCGTGCAATGCAAAGTTAAAATTAGGCAAATTTTACGTGTATTCGCGTCGCACGCTAGGAAAAGAAAGAGACTCCTCGCAGTCTAAAATAAAGAAAATGTTTCCCATATTAATTGGCCTCTACATGAGAATTTTCATTGTCATTCTTGATATTTCTGCCAAAACTTTATCCATTTAGTGATGAATAGACCATTTTACAGTCGTCCGCTCAGTGACCTGACCTTTGAATGGCAGCGAGACTGGAGGTGACCTTGTTTTGATACAGACGTCACTGCTTTTGTCATGTAAATCAAGTTGTTCGTATGCTAACTAGTTGGCATTTAACCCTTTGAATACCAAACTTTCGCCAAAAAATACCGTTTTTAAGCGTTTAGTCAGGTTTTTTAGCTGCCATGACGCTAAATAAACCTAAGTT